TGACGAAATCGCTGTTTCTCTCTCTCTCTCTCTCCCTCTCTCTCTCTCTCTCTCCCCCCCCGCGATCCAAAGATGGAAAGTGCACGGGTATGTTTGTTTGTCAATTTCTTTTTTTTTTCGCAGAAGAATGTCGACTTTTTTTTTTTTTGTTTTTTTTTTTTTTTCCATGTGGACCTACCGGTAGCTCGAGGCTCGGCAAGGTTCGGGATACCGGTAGGCTGAGCCACGGGCCTTAACAGCCGCTAGGTACTGGTGGTTTAATACCCAGGTTCTTCATGAGCAACAGCATCTGGGACACTTGCTCGCTTGAGAGGCGAGTGGACATTCCAACATGTTTGATCCAATCCGCAACTACTTGCCCTGATCTCCCCGACGGAAGTTGCAAGGCAGAGATTGCTTCCGTCTGATCAGACAAAAATGCTTGTAGTGGAAACCAATGAACACAAAGTTCACTCCATTTTTCAAAGGTCTCGTTAATAGATTTGATGCCCAAAAACACAAAATACAAAATAATGGGGGGACCCGTTTCTTTCAGGGATAACTTTCATAGTAGGCAAGATAGATACCGAACCAGTGTGATTGAGAACGTGCCGTTTTGTCAGATCTAGCACTTCCTCATCTGTCGGGGAGGTTTTGACTTGAACCGTTGGAATTTCCAAGACATCATCCAGCAATGTTTTGGTCAAAACCATTGTACCCAATGGGGTATCAGAGCAGATGAGTGGAGTGAGAAAGCTTTTCGCTGGGTCTTTGGCCTTGTCAGTTTTGGAGAGCGTTGTGACGCCTAACCTCACGCCCGGCGCGACTTCCTGTTCGGAGTGGGATGTGGGCCTGGAAGTGGGAAAAGGGGTGTCCCAATTTGTTTTAGGGAAAGTGGGGGTGGAGTCCCAGATCAGAACTGAGATCTCCTGTGGCAAGGGTCCAGGGGCAAAGAAGCAAAGGGGCGGGTTACTTCCGGTCTGATGGCGGTCTATGTTGTGCAGGATCTGTGTAACCGTTCGAACGCCGTGAATGCGCGTTCGCGTTCAAATGTGCGTTTGAACGCGGATTAATATTCGCGTTCAAAATTGAACGGCGTTCAATTATGTTTTTATTTTTTTTTGTTTTTTTTTAATCATTTCGATGCCTAAAAATAATTTTGTTTTTCTGATTTTTTTTCTAGGTTACCGGGATGTCCGACCGGACGTCTGGTCCCCCTGACCGTCCGGGATGTCCGACCGGATGTCTGGTCGGACCGGACAGGGCATGTCCGACCTAGCGCCAAAAAAAAAAAAAAAAAAAAAAAAAAAAAAAA